GATGAGAAACCAAAGCATGGTGGGGGTGAGATAACTTGCAAATTAACAAATAGGGAGGCCATGTCCAGTGGGAGATGCTGTCAGAAGCACATGAGGGGAACTACCCTGGCTTCTCCCATCTTCTCGCCCTCCAATCTACCCTCAGTGCCTGCCTTTGGCTAAATCTGGGCACGGAAGGCAGGGGACAAGGGGGCATCCTGTGCAGGGGTCAGCCCTTAGCCATGGGGCAGGGACAGAGCAGGGAATGGGTGACCTGAGTGTACACAGGTGCAAGGCTGACACAAAACATGAGGAAGGGGTGATTATACCCCCATTTTACAGAGGGGGAAACTGAGGCCCAGACAGCCCATGTGCCCTACCCAGGGGTTCAAGCCTTGCGGGGGTCTGAGTCTCTGCCAAAACCCAGGGGGCTGTTTCTGCGTCTTTTTTTCTGCTCCACGCACCCGAACTGAAGGGAATGGAAACATCTATGCAAGTCAGGCCCGTCCCTAGGGGTTGGAGGAGAATGCCTCAATGGGGATCCCTCCTCTTCCTCACACGCTTGGCAGTTACCCACAAACTGAGCTGCAAACAAACACACAGCAGATGTTTTGGCAGTTGATGGGGATGTACTTTAAACAGCTCCCCCAAAGAGGTCAGACTGCCCCCTATCAATCCTGCACTCATACCCTGCATCTTCTATCTGAAGGTTGCCCCCCAATATTCCAGCCTTGACTCTGGCCTTTGTGAAAACTCTGGCACAGTGATGGGGGGATAGGAATGGCCAGATGTTGGGGGGCCCTCCAGCTTCCAATATATGCTCCCTAAATTGCTATCATGCCCGTGGCCAGCAAAGACCCTCTCCGGGCTGCAAGGCTGATGCTGGCCCACTGGGGACAGAGGTCAGCTACAACTGAGCCTTTGATCCACAGGAATGGGCTGGACACCTCGACCTTTGACTCCACCCAGGCTTGGGCCAAAACGGTCAAATTTTGAGCCTCGCAGTGTGAAGGTCTCGAGGTCATTACCTCCCTTTCATTAAGGCTCACAATCAATAATGCCAGTGGCCAGTGTGACCTCAGGGGGTTACACATCTTGAGACCCAAGAGACAGAGAGGGGGGCTCTGTTTCTGGTAATACCCCTGCATTAGGATGATGCCAGATTTCTGGGGCCAGAAAGCAAACTGCTTTCTCTACATTCCATTTGTTCAATTACTATGTATTGAGAACCTTCTGGGTGCCTGGCACCCTTCTCCTTCTTAGCATGGGGGCCCAGCAGTGAAAGAAACAAAGAGCTCTGTCCTCTAGGAGCTGATGTCCTAGTGGAGGAGACAGACAAGAAGCAGGATAAATAAGAACATGATGTCATCTGTTAGAATGTGGTGTAAGTTCTGGAAACAATGATACTGGGAAGGCAGATATGTGGGGTAGGAAGGGACTGTGATTTTTAGACCCAGTGTCACCTGAGAAGGTGACATTTGAGAAAAGACCTGAAGGAGATGAGGGAGTGAACCATGCAGATATTTAGGGGAGTGTGGTCCACTTACAAGGGACAGCCAGTGCAAAGGCCCTGAGGCTGGTGTGAGATTGACAGGTTCTGGTGAGAAAACCAGTGTGGCGGAAACCACAGATAGATAGAGGGGGACAGTGAGAGGAAGTGAGGACAGGTCCTGCAGGGCATTGTGGGCTGCAGTGAGGACTTTGGCTTTTTTTCTAAGGACTTTGGCTTTTGCTGTAGGAGGCATGGAGGGTTCTGAGCAGAGAAGGGATGGATCTGACTCAGGTATTTACAGGCTCCCTTTGTGGGGGTGGGGGGAAACACTGTGGGGACTGAGGATGGAAGGAAAGAGAACTCATCCTCCACACAGCTCAGTAGGGGAGAGGTTGTGTGTGTCCCACCTACCAATTAAGGCCAAACTCTGAAAGTGCTAACCACTTGCCCAGGGACACCCAACCAATTAGCAGCAGCCCCTGGATCTGAACCTGTCTATGTGACTCCAGTGCCATTGGGTAAATAATCATTCATTGGGTACCTTATGTACCTGTGACCTCAGGGGGTTACACATCTTGAGACCCAAGAGACAGAGAGGGGGGCTCTGTTTCTGGTAATACCCCTGCATTAGGATGATGAACAAAGGAATTCACTCAAGAAACATGTATTGAGCGCCCACTGTGTTACAGGCACTATGCTGGCTGCAGGGCACAAGACAGAGCAAAGTTTCTGCCAAGAGGGGGAGACAAAATTTCTCCTCTAGTAGGGGAGACAGACAAAAAGCATGAAAAAAAAACCCAGGAGGGACTTCCCTGGTGGTCCAGTGGTTAAGAATCTGCCTTCCAACGCCTGCCTTGGATCCCTGGTCGGGGAATTAAGAGCCCAAATGCCATGGGGCAACTAAGCCCGCATGCTGCAACTACTGAGACCCCACGCTCTAGAGCCCACGCGCCACAACTAGAGAGAAGCCCGAGTGCCGCAACTAGAGAAGCCCACACGCCACAACTAAGACCCGATGCAGCCAAATAAATAAATAAACAAATATTTTTAAAAAGATAAAGATCCTTAAAAAAAAACAGAAAATTATATAGGATGTTAGAAGATAAGTACTGATGGAAAAAAATAGTGCGGGATAAGGCAGTCAGAAGGGCCAAGGGTGGGGATTGCAATTTGAAATAGGGTGGTCAGGACAGGCTTCTTGGAGGAGGTGACATTTGAGCAAAGAATTGGAGGTGAGGGATCGAGCCATGTGTAGCTCTGGGAAAAGTATGATCCAGGCAGAAGGAACAACAGTACTAAAGACCCTGAGGTGGGTTCAACATAAATGACTGAGTCAATAAACTAAGCTTGTGGCCATCAGGAAAGTCCAGCCACCCCTTCCCCCAGTCCCCACTTCTGGCTTTTGCAACTGCTGTTTTCTCAGCCTGGATCACATTTTTTCCTTTGGACAAACTCCTGATGGACCCTCAAGCCTTAGCTCTCCGGTTGCAGCTTCAGAAAAGTTGCCTCTGAGACCCCCGCCACCACAGATTAGCAGTTCTTCCCCTGTGCTCCCACAGACCCTGTAGACCTCCCCTCCCCCATTCTGATCTTTCAACCTTCTGCACTGGGCTGTGAGTATCTCAAGGGTGTCTGCTGGATTTACCCCAGCAGTACACAGTAGGTGCCCAATAAATCATTAAGCAGCTAAGTGCTGTTCCATCCTTCACCACATAAAATCTAAATTTTCTTGCACAGGACAGACATGTAAATCTGTCTGTAAAATAATAAACTGGTTCTGGGAGAAGACACACAGCTGGTTGTGGTGGTGGCTTCTGGGAAGGTAAAGAGATGGGTGGGGGCAGGGCAGGGAACAGAGGGTGGAGACAGACTTTTCACTCTAGCTTTCTTTTTGTAGTTTTTGGACTTTTCTTTACTAGGTGTGTGAATTACTTATGCAAACATAAAATGAATAAACAAAATTGTACAAAATTAAAAGACCTTTTAAAATTGCAAAGTGTGTGGAGTTTGAAACACATATCCACAGTTCTTGCAAGGATAGAATGCACAATGAAATACATTATAAGTTTTCATTAATACTTCACAAAAATACCCATATGTTATATATCAGATGCAAAAACACAAAACAAAAGCCTTCAAGTCTTCCACGGTCCCCCCCCATCCCTACCTTGGCTTTTTTTTTTTTTTCCTTTTTGACCTTTTATTATTTATTTTTATTTGGCTGCGTTGGGTCTTAGTTGTGGCACGCAGGCTCTTCGTTGCAGCATGCAGTCTTCTTTCCAGTTGCAGCGCCCGGGCTTACTTGCACCGCAGCATGTGGGATCTTAGTTCCCCCCACCAGGGATCGAACTCCCGTCCCCTACATTGGAAGGCGGATTCCTAACCACAGGACCACCAGGGAAGTCCCCTACCTTGGCTCTTGTCTTGCTTTGATGATAAAACTCACCTTCAAAATAATAGTAATAATAATAATAATAAAGCTACGCATGCTTTGCCTCCATCATTTCATCGAATCTCACACCTCCCCATTTTCCAGATGAGGACACTGAGGTTGTCTCTCAGACCACGTTCTCGGCGGCTAAACTCGGTCCATTTCTCACTGGTAATCAAGTGCTCAGGTCTGGTCCGCCAGGGCAGGCTGCTATGGGCTCGTGGCGCCGCCTGGAGGCCTGACGGGGAACGTGGCAAAGAACATACAAAATGAGCGTTTGGATTTCTATTAGTGAGAGTGGACGGGGGAGGCAACGCAGGATCTGTGGACTCCCCAGTTTGCTCTCGGAGAGTCCTGGCAGTCTGAGATGCGACAGGACCTTGGCCTAGGAGATGGGGGGAGACACATCTCCCAACCTGACGCATTTGAGGGGGACGTGCTCTGGGGAAATCTAAGGGGAGAAGCACGATCCGCCAGGCCCTACCCTGAGGGCTTTCTGTGAGAGATAACGCCCTGCATTTAAACAAGCAAACAAAACCACGTTCCTGGAGAAACCCACCGCTATGGTCTTGGAGGCCCAAAGCGGGCGGACCCTGGGGACGTGGCCGACCAAAAAAAAAAAAAAAAAAAAAAGCCTAACAGTTGTTCAGGGCTCTACCTCTGTGGCTCCGGCTCTGAAAGGTGTCACTTGGTTTGGTAATGCTGGGTGAGAAAAAGAACGGGGCCCAATTCTTACCCCTGACACTTGCTAGCTGTGTGAACTTGCAGACTGAACGAGCTCATTGGCTGAAAGAGGCGCGTGCCCTTTGAGCAGGAGGTTTCATTGGCTGGATTACCGCACCGGCTCTTTGGGGGCGGGACCGAAGAGGGGCCGGGGTTTCTTGCTGTCGGGTCGCGCTCCCAGGTGTTGCAAAGGGTTCTTTAGGCCAGCAGTGAAAATTAGCGTCTGGGGTTAGTCTTGGGGCGGAGGTAGGGACAGGCGTTAGCGGACCCCGCCGTCTTTGCTCTCGCCCAGCTTTCTAACGCCGAATACAAGCCCGGCCGGCGGCGTCGCGGGCGTGACGTCATCGCGAGGCGTCGAGAGAGTCCAGCAGAGGAAGCCTTGACCTCTCTAAGCGTGGGGAGCTGCGCGACAATGCTGCAGCTAGTCCGGGCCGGGGCGCGGGCCTGGTTTCGGCCCAAGGGCTGCCGGGTGAGGCCGGGGACTGAGGGCGGGGTCGGAGGACAAAGGTTGGAGGGTCCGGGGATCGTCTCTCAGTCTTGCTTACCGTTTACAGGGCCTGAAGGCGCTGGCGGAAGAGGCAGTGCAGCCGGCGGAGAAACCAGAACCGGTGGCGAGCGCGGGTGAGGTTGCTGGGGTTGCCCTAGGAGGGGAGGCAACCGGAAACTCTGACCCTTGCTCCTGACCCTTGACCTCCCAATAGCTCCAGGTCCCCGGGTGCCCGTGCTGCGCAGGTGCGAGCTCCAGGTACTCGCGCACCGGCGTCCCGTGCAGGCCTGGGTTGAGTCCCTGCGGGGCTACGAGCAGGAGCGCTTGGGTCTGACCGAGCTGCACCCAGACGTTTTCTCCGCGACGCCCAGGTAAGTGGGAGCCGAAATGGTAAACTGGGTGGCAGAGGGACGGGGAGCGGGGATTTAGGAATCAGGATGACCTGGACTCGAGCCTCAGTTTCTCCACCTGTTAGAAGAGAGTGATGAAAAAAAAAAAGAGAGAATGATGGTTTTTCTTGCTGCAGAGTTGTGTGAAGGTGAGGGCTGAGAAGTAACATCCTCTGAGGGTTAGGGACGCAGAGCTCTGGAACCCGAGTGACTGGATTCAAATCCTGCCTTCTCCCTTGTGCTTCAGTGTCTCTATTCTGTCAAACCTCAAACGATTAAATGAGATAATTCTAGCCCATAATTTGGTCTGTAGAAATGTTGGTTATTGTTGCTGTTATTGGTTTTTGCAGAAATGAGCACTAACAGTGGTTAAGTCCTTACTGTGTGCCTGGGACAGTCTATTTGTATTTTATTTTATTTTGTTTTTGGCCACGTGGCTTGCAGTATCTTAGTTCCCCAACCAGGGATTGAACCTCACCCCTCAGCAGTGAAAGCACAGAGTCCTAACCACTGGACTGCCAGGGAATTCCCTTTTTTTGGTGGGGGGGGGAGCATATTTGCATTTTAAAAATATATATTTATTTAGCCGCGTCGGGTCTTAGTTGCCGCACGCAGGATCTTCGTTGCCGCGTGGGGGATTTTCGTTGCAGCATGCAGGATCCTTAGTTGCGGCATGCAGAACCTTTTTAGTTGTGGCATGTGAGATCTACTTCCCTGACCAGGGATCAAACCCGGGCCCCCTGCATTGGGATCGCAGAGTCTTAGCCACTGGACCACCAGGGAAGTCACCCTACTTGCAGTTTAGTTAACTAGATCCTCATAGCAACCCTAGGAATGGATTCTATTATTCTTATTTCGTAGGTAAGGAAACTGAGCACAGACAAATTAAGAAATTTGCCCAAGGTCACACAGCTTATAAACTTTAGAGCCAGATCTCAACCCTATGTGGGCCAACTCCCAGGACCAAGTTTTCGCTTGCCAAGGTGTGTGATGTCTCTTACGTGTATGTGTCTGGCACATAAGTGCTATTAATCTATTACTATTACTTATTTGTATGGTTTGCTCTCTGTCTTTACAGAGTCCCAGTCTGCTATAGGGTGACAAAAAAAGATAAAAACGACATATTTTGTTTATTCTGTAAACACTTATGAAGCACTTACTATGTGCCAGATTCCATTCTAGGTCAGGGATACAGCAGTGCTTGAGCACCGAGGTTGCTGATGTCGCTCCCTGTCTAAGCCGGGATCAGCAGACTTTTTCTGTAAAGAGCCAGAGAGTAAATGTTTTTGGCTTTGCAGGCTGTAACGTCTCCACGGCAACTACTCATCTTTGTTGATGTGGTACAAAAGCATCCATAGGCAATGTGTAAGTGAATGAGCGTGGCTGTGTTCCAGTAAAACATATTTACAAGAACAGGCAGCAGGCCAAATTTGGCCTTACTAGCCATAGTTTGCCAACCCCTGGCAAATCAGCCTGGCAGCGCTGTCCAATGCGAGCCATGCATGTAATTGAAATTCTTTCAGTAGCCAAGTTTTCTTTGAAATAGTGAGAAACAAATGAGATTGATTTCAATAATATATTTCGTTTAGCCTGATACATCTAAAATCTTCTCGTTTCACCATGTGGCACTGGCCACCTTTCAGGGGTTTAGTAGCCACACATGTGGCCAGTGTCTACTGTATGGAACAGCACGGGGTAGAGAGGCAAGCCAGTCTGTAAAGAAGTGGCAGCAAGGAAGTCGTAATGGTAGGAAAGGAGTAAGGTAAAGTCCTCTTTAGCAAGGGGACTCCTCTTGGAGATACCATTTGGGCTAAGACTGGTAGGCAGAAAAGGAACCAGCCAGGGGAAGAGCATTTCAGGCAGAGGGAACAGCAAGTGCAGAGGCTTGGAGGCTGGACTTCATAGAACAGACACAGAGTGGAGCTGGAGGTGGTGCAAGATGGGCTCAGAGAGGGACCGGGGCAGGTCACACAGGGCCCTGGAAGTGGATGGGAACGAGCCGGAGGTTTTGTTTGTTTGTTTGTTTGTTTGTTTTGCGGTACGCAGGCCTCTCACTGTTGTGGCCTCTCCCATTGCGGAGCACAGGCTCCAGACGTGCAGGCTCAGCGGCCATGGCTTACAGGCCCAGCCGCTCCGCGGCATGTGGGATCCTCCTGGACCGGGGCACGAACCCATGTCCCCTGCATCAGCAGGCGGACTCCCAACCACTGTGCCACCAGGGAAGCCCCGGAGTTTTCATCTAGTCGGGCGGAGAGGGTTTTAAGTGGAAGTGGGCCTGTCTTGTCTCCTTCCTCCACAGGCTGGATATCCTGCACCAGGTTGCCATCTGGCAGAAGAACTTCAAGAGAATTGTGAGTGCCCTGAGTGGGGTGGGGGTGGGGGGGCAGAGGATGCCCTTGCTGTGTCTTCTCTGAACTGTGGGGCTCAGGCCCCATCTTCTCTCTCCTGACCCATTCACCGATGGGCCATTTGCCAGGCATTTTGTGAACTGCCACTGTGCCCTGGGCACTGTGCTGGGGGACAAGACAGGCAAGGTCCCTGTCCTTTTGAAGCTCCCAGTCTAGCTGGTAAGGAGAACATGAATCAAGTAGTCATGCCTGTAAATGTATAATTAGGGAAGTTGTCTCAGAGAAAGGGGCGTTTAACCTCAGGTGTGTGACAGGCGCTAACCAGGTGAAGCGGGCAGTGGGGCTGGGGTGGAGGGCGTTGGAGCAACACAGGCAAAGCCTCTGTGGCAGGGATCAGAAGGGGCCCAGTGTGGCCATGGAGGTCAACAGGGGCAATGTGAGGTGTTTGGATCTTACGCCAAGAGCGCTGATGATGCTGTTATCAATCAGAGTCCCCGCCTTCCATCCGCCCACCTCAAGTCTGGTGAGTCCTCCCTGGCTCGCCATGGCCCTGGAAATGAAGTCATCAGCCTGGCATTGGAAGCCTTGCATGATCCTCTAACCCGCACCTCTCCCTGATTCTCCCTAACCCCCGCGTCTTTCCCCATGCCCCACCTTCCTTTTATTTATTGATTTATTTTTATTATTATTATTTTTTTGCGGTACGAGGGCCTCTCACTGTTGTGGCCTCTCCCGTTGCGGAGCACAGGCTCCAACGCGCAGGCTCAGCGGCCATGGCTCACGGGCCCAGCCGCTCTGTGGCATGTGGGATGTTCCCGGAACGGGGCACAAACCCGTGTTCCCTGCATCGGCAGGCGGACTCTCAACCACTGCGTCACCAGGGAAGCCCTCCTTTTATTTTTTATTTAATTTTACTTATTTATTTATGGCCACGTGGCTTGCAGGATCTTAGTTCGCTGACCAGGGATCGAGGGATCGAACCCCTGCACCGTGCAGTGGAAGCTCAGAGTCCTAACCACTGGACAGCCAGGGAATTCCCCCAGCTTCCTTTTAGTTACAACTACATGGAAATCATTCAAAAAATACTAAGTACGTACTGTGTGTCAGGCAGAAGAGCCCCTGCCTCTCTGAGGCTGACGTTCTGGAGTGCAGGAGGGAACTCTTGATTTATCTCTCCCTTCCTCTCTCCCTCCAGAGCACTCCGTGCTTGTCCCGATGGAGCCCCAGTCTCTGTGTCTCCTGTCGGGCTCCCCAGCGGCAGGCCGGTCTGCCGAGCTCACTGCTGTGTTCCTGGGCCTGGCACCTTTCGTCTGCAATGGCACCTCCCTTGTGAACCTGACTCTTTCCTCACTCTGCGCCCACAGAGCTATGCCAAGACCAAGACCAGGGCCGAGGTGCGGGGCGGTGGCCGGAAACCCTGGCCACAGAAAGGCAGTGGGCGTGCCAGGCATGGCAGCATCCGCTCCCCAATCTGGCGAGGAGGTAAGCAGGTCTGCCCACGTGCGGTCAGAGGTTGGAGAGTCCATCCACTTCGCCCCATTTCCCCACAGCTCTGGCCTTGGCCTCTCATCAGGCCATGGCCACAGCCCCTTTTGCCCCACTTCCCACCTCACCTCTCCTGGCCCACACTTCACACAGCAGCCAGAGGGCTCTTCCTAAACCTCCCAGCTCCTGCGGCCTTTGCGTGAAGTCTGAGCCCCTCATCTTGGCCTTCCAGGCCCTGGTGGCTGCAGACCGTGCCCCCTTGTCCCTTGCACACCCTCCCAGACCAAACAGAGCTGACTCAGTCAGAGTCATCTCCCATTTGTCTGGCCAATCCCTCTCATCCTTCCGATGTGTTTGGGCCATGCCTCCTCCAGGAAGCCCTCTCTGACCCTCGTTGGGTCTCCCCACCCCCTGCAACCCCCTGTGCTGCCTGGTTCCCTCTGGGATCAAGTCTCTGGCTGAATATGAATGGCGTGGGGGCAGGGATCCTGTCCCGCATGTTCCCTGCTGCACTCTCAGCGCCCAGCAGAGGGAGGACACACGGGTAGACCATCCTCACCCCAGATTTGACAGCTGAAGACACCAAGCCCCAGTGAGGTGAAGTTACCTGTCCCAGGTGATGCCTGATGCAACCTCCCCTCTCCATCCCTACCTGAGGCCCTGCCCTCTTTGCTGGGGTTCTGCCTGGTGGAGGACAGCCTCCCTCCTACCTCCCCTGTGCCAGCCACTGGGGCAGATTTCTGACCTCCAAGCCCAGCTGGGGCCTTCACCTATTCACGTACCTCTGCCCCCACAGGAGGCATTGCCCATGGCCCCCGAGGCCCCACGAGCTACTACTACATGTTGCCCATGAAAGTGCGGGTTCAGGGCCTCAAGGTAGCGCTGACCGTCAAGCTGGCCCAGGTACAGCAGCAGTCCTGCCGGGAGCCACGGGGGTCCTGGGGTGTGGGCTGTGGGTGCAGGGTGGGCTCAGACTGTCCTTTCCTCCCACCAGGATGACCTGCACATCGTGGACTCCCTGGAGCTGCCGACCGCAGACCCCCAGTACCTGATGGAGTTGGCCCGCTACCGCCGCTGGGGCGACTCCGTCCTCCTTGTGGATTTGTGAGGGTGCCGGGCAGAGCAGGGGTGGCTGGGGTAGGGGGACAGGGGGGGCGGTCCGTCCTCGGCAGGGGCTCACCTCTTGGCCTCTGTTTCAGAGAACACGAGGACATGCCCCAGAACATTGTGGCAGCTGCCTCTGGGTTGAAGACCTTCAACCTAGTCCCTGCTATTGGTGAGCAAAGGGCCCTGCTCTGTCTCCCAGACCCCCAGAGAGTACAGCATGGGCCAGTTCAAATCCTGTATCTGCAACTTGGTCACAGAGTGGCCTTGGGCAGTGACCACCCTCCCCCACCCAACCCTCAGTTTGCCCAGATGGAACATTGGGAGAATTATGTGTTTCTTAAAGAAAACTTCTGAGGGGAATTCCCTGGTGGTCCAGTAGTTAGGACTCCATGCTTTCACTGCCGTTGGCCCGGGTTCGATCCCTGGTCCGGGAACTAAGATCCCACAAGCTGCACGGTGCAGCCAAAAAACAAAAAACACTCTGAGGTCACATCTGTCCAAGCTTGGGCCACAGTGCCAGGCGTGGAGTGAGTTTGAGGGCCCACTGGCTGTCCCCACCCGGCTCCTCACTCGGAGACGCAGGATCAGGGCTGTCCTGAGTACGTCACACCAGTGGCTGCGGTGACTAATCCCCAGGGCTCTCTCCTGGTCTCCTGACTGTGTGCCCGGCTGCCTCCTGGACAGCGGCACGTGGGGTCTGCTAGTCATCCTGGCACACGAGACCTTCCTCCCAGCAGCTCTGGCCCCAAACCACACTGTCCCCCTCCACTCCGGTCCTGTTAGCTCACCCTGTCAGCGCTGTCTCCAGACATATCCAGAATCCCACCGCTTCTCACTGCCCTGGGCCAGCCCCCACCATCTGCCTGGACTGGCACAGTTGGGGCACAGTGGCCTCTGCCCTGGTCCCAGGCTCCTGCTGACCGACTCCTCCCCACAGTCTGTCCTGCACTCCCGTCCCCCCGCTCCCATTACGGCCACCAGAGGGCGCCTGAGCACCTGAGTCAGGTCCTGTCCCTCCTCTGCCCACCACCCTCCAGGGCTCCCTCGTCACTCAGGGTAAAAGCCCAAGTCTTCCCCGGAGGACCACAGACACTGCATGCCCTGCCCTGCCCTGCCCTCCCCTTCCTTCCTCTCATCACTCGCTGCAGCCCCATGGGCCTCCCTCAGTACATTGTGTTTGTTTATCTGCTCTGTTTACCCTCAGCCTCCCGAACTGGGGTGTGAGGTGGGAACCGTGCCCGAGCGCAGGGCAGAGTTGGGTACTTAGGATGCTCTCGGTTGGAAGTTGACGAGCTAAGGGCAGTCTCTTGCCCAGGGTCTCGCTGGGGGTGAGCGACTGAGCCAGGGTTGAACCCAGGCTACGGGGCTCGGGACCCTACACCAGACCCTGGTGTTTCTGTTGGGGGCAGAGGGGGCCCGCCCTGACTGTGCCTCCACCCCGCGCCCCCAGGCCTGAACGTGCACAGCATGCTCAAGCACCAGAGCCTGGTCCTGACCCTGCCGACCGTCGCCTTGCTGGAGGAGAAGCTGCTCTGGCACGACTCGCGCTACCCGCCCCTCTACCCCTTCCGCCTGCCCTACCGCGACTTCCCCTGAGCCCCACGCTGCACCCCCAGGGCCCATCAGCCACCCTCCTTCCTGCTCGCTGTCCTCGCGGTGCGCCTGCTCCAAGCCTGGCCGAGCCCCTGGTGGGCTTGGGAGCCTCCCGCTCACCCTGCAAGAGCGGCCAGAACCCCTCATCCCGGTGGGAAGCTGAGGCCACTCACAGAGCAGCCAAGCAGGCATCACTACTGGGAAGGGGCCGCTGACAGGAGCTTGGGGCAGCTTCTACCCCAAGTCTCTTTTGTGTAAGATAAATTTTACTTTTTAATCAAAGAGGAGAAACAGAACAACAGCTCATTGCCGTTTTGTGAATAATTTGGCGAGTTAGGCTCTTGCCCCGGTGCGGGGCACCGCTGGGTACCCGGCTGCCTCAAGGCACTGCTTATAGGAATGACCCACCGTCAACTTTTCTGGGGTGAGACAGCCTCGGAGTATGCAGCGAACCAGCCATCGCTAGGAACCCACTCATGGTGCCTCCCAATCCCAAGCACTCTCACCGAGCGCTTGCATCCCTGACGGGGCTTGTGGTCCCATTTATTATGGTCCTTCAGTTCAAGTGTGGACCTGATTCCCCAAGTGGGTGCAGTGTGGAGACATGAGCTTTCATCACAGTGATTTTCCCTAAGCACAGAGTCAGTATCAACGTGGTCAATAAATGAGTGAATAAACATTTTTTAAAAACACCAAACCGGTATCCTGATCCTTGAGTCTGCTGGTGTTATTTGCCCCCCACAAGTTGTTGTTGCTAATTGTCACAATACAGACTATAAAGTACCGTGGTCAGTTTCTTTAAACTCAGCCCGGGGCTTCCTTGGTGGTGCAGTGGTTAGGAGTCCGGCAGCCAATGCAGGGGAAACAGGTTTGAGCCCTGGTTCAGGAAGATCCCACACGCTGCGGAGCAACAAAGCCCATGCACCACAGCTACTGAGCCTGCGCTCTAGAGCCCGTGAGCCACAACTACTGAGCCCACGTGCCACTACTGAAGCCTGCGTGCCTAGAACCCATGCTCCGCAACAAGAGAAGCCACTGCAACGAGAAGCCCGCGCACCACAACGAAGAGTAGCCCCCGCTTGCAGCAACTAGAGAAAGCCCGCGTGCAGCAACGAAGACCAAACGCAGCCAAAAATAAAATTTATTTTAAAAATCTTAAAAAATAGTATGAATGCAAAAAAAAAGCCAGAACTGCCATCTGGTGTGCAGGCCCAACCAGGCGGCTGCAGTGACCCATCTACTGGGCTGCTCCTCGCTGAAAACATCTCTGGAATGCTTCTTGGGAGTGCCTTCAGAGCTTACAACACACTCTTTGAAAGTCCTCAATGAACATAAATTGTGATCCTTAAAGCATCAGATTTGACTGAGTAAAAAAGAAAAAGCTAGGACTTCCCTGGTGGTCCGGTGGTTAGGACTCTGCACTCCCAATGCAGGGGGCCCAGGTTCAATCCCTGGTCGGGGAACTAGGTCCCGCGTGACGTGGTGAAGATCCTGCATGCGGCAACTAAGGCCCGGCATAGCCTAATTAATTAATTAATTAATTAAAAGAAGAAAAAGCTATTTGGAGCCAGTAGTAAGAACGGGGTGCAGGGACTTCCCTGGTGGCACAGTGGTTACGAACCCACCTGCCAATGCAGAGGACATGGGTTCGAGCCCTGCTCCGGGAAGATCCCATATGCCACGGAGCAACTAAGCCCGTGCGCCACAACTACTGAGCCTGCGCTCTAGAGCCCGTGAGCCACAACTACTGAAGCCCGTGCACCTAGAGCCCGTGCTCTGCAACAAGAGAAGCCACCGTAATGAGAAGTCCGTGCACTGCAACGGTGAGTAGCCCCCGCTCGCCACAACTAGAGAAAGCCCGCGTGCAGCAACGAAGACCCAACGCAGCCTAAATAAATAAATAAATAAATAATTTATTTTCTTTAAAAAAAGAAGAAGGGGTGCAGAGGCTGTTGGGAAAAGCTGGGCTAAACCCAAACCATTACCTACCTCTCCCTGTGCCTCTCACCAGCTCCGCAGGGACACCGAGGCCCCAAGTAAGACCCATCTGTTGTCCTGACGGTGCCCGGCCTAGTCGTAGCTATGCATAATCGGGCCCAGTCGTCCACATCACAGCCATCAGGAAGTAGGATGAAGGAAGGGGTCAGAACCTGTTGCTGACACTGGGATGCCTCTGCCAGATCAAGGATGGAAAAAGACATCAGAAAAAAATGATCCGGGGTCTAGAATGTGCTAATAATCAGGGCATAGTATGTGTATTAGTTTCCTAGGCCACCTTAACAAAGTACCACAGACTAGGGCTTCAACTACAGAAAAGTACTGTCTCATGGTTCTTGGAACCAGAAGACCAAGATCAAGATGTCAGTCCTTCTGAGGCTGTGAGGCAGGCTCTGTCCCATCCCCCTCCCCTAGATTCTGGTGGTTTGCTGGCATCCTTGGTATTTCTTGGCTTGATACATCACCCTGATCTCTGTCGTCATCTTCAAATGTCATTGTCCCTCTGTGTGTGTCTGTGTTCAAATATCCCCTTTTTATAAGAGCAACAGTCATGTTGGGTTAGGGCCCCACCCTAATGACCTCACCTGAACTTGATCATCTGCAAAGACCCTATTTCTAAATAAGATCACAATCTGGGGGTTAGCACTTTTTTTTCCCCTGGGGAAGAGACGTAGCAGAACCCATGACAGGGTGTAAGGGGAAGGAAGGAACAGGATTGGCCATGAGGACTGTGGAAGTTGGCACGTGTGGCTTCATCACATGTCCTCTTTGCTGATGTCTATTTTGAAATTCTGTGTAATTTTTTTTTTTTTTAGAAAGAGAGAGATGGGTGAAGACATTTCTTCAGGGGAGCTGTTGCTACCTGCACATCCATCCCTGGTTGGGGAAATAAGATCCCACATGCCGCGCGGCACGGCCAAAACAAAAAAAAAAAGCCCTATCACACCCTCTTGGGACATGGGTTAACCCAGAGCCTAGAGAGGAAGGTGACTTCACAGCCTCTGGAAAATATCCCTGAAGGCAGGACACCAAAGACTCAGGCTGACCCTGGCTTAAGAAAGCACGAGTGAGTCAACAGGGCTGGGATCCAGGGGCGAGAGGTAGGCGGTTCTCATGGTGGAGTCAGGGCGTCTGCTTCTTGGTGGTCAGTATGGAGGCCCACCAGGAGAAATGAGAGGGTAGGACCAGACCCCAAGGGCTGAGGGAAGAGCCACAACCCATATCAAAGATGCCTCCATGCCAGCGAAGGGGTCTCCAGGAGGAAGAGGCCTCAAAGAGCCCCCCCAGAACATTTTAACACGCTGCTGGGGTACCCAAAAGGGCAAAGCCACCAGCCGTGGAGGAAATGCCCTGAAACCTCCTCCTTGCACCTGGGCAGGAGGGACCCACAGGCTGGTGAGAGGAGTTGAGGGGGACAGAAAGAGGGTCAACAGCAGGGGACCAGGCCCTTCTCTTCTCTACCAAGGCTTCCAGCCTGGAGAAGCCTGACCTGGGGCTCCTGTCCAACACCAAGTTCCGAGATTTGAACGTGATGCTGATCGGGGCCTGAGTCCGGGGCAGGATTCTCAGCCAGGGGCGAGGCAGTGTCCACCACAGAATAAACTTTCAAAGAGTGGAAGGAGAAGCCAAGTTATGTTTTGATCAACATCCAAATGTCATGCATTTTTGCTTTACACCCTGGGGCTCTGATGAGGAACCGTGATGCTAGAATGAACTAACCTGTGGGAACAGAGGAAGTCTGTATTTCTGCCTAGGAAGTTTGAGGGGGCATTCTCAGAGCTGAGTCCTATGGAAACAGACAACTTGTAACTCCTGTTATCTGTTCTCCCTGCACACGAGTGGTCTTACTGAAATCTCGGGACTTCCCTGGTAAGGCAGTGGATAAGACTCCGCCCTCCCAGTGCAGGGGGCCCGGGTTCGATCTGTGGTCGGGGAACTAGATCCCACATGCATGCCACAACTAAGAGTTCACATGCTATAACTAAGGAGCCTGCGAGACACAACTAAGGAGCCCACCTGATGCAAATAAGAACTGGCGCAACCAAAGTAAGTAAATAATGTTAAAAAAAGAAGAAAGGGCTTCCCTGGTGGCGCAGTGGTTGAGAGTCCGCCTGCCGATGCAGGGGACACGGGTTCGTGCCCCGGTCTGGGAAGATCCCACATGCCGTGGAGCGGCTGGGCCCGTGAGCCATGGCCGCTGAGCCTGCGCGTCCGGAGCCTGTGCTCCGCAACGGGAGAGGCCACAACAGTGCGAGGCCTGCGTACCGCAAAAAAAAAAAAAAGAAGAAGAAAAATCTTAGACCCACCCTTTGAGGGATGCATTACCATCCCTTTCTACAGCTGAGGCCATCTAGGTACCGCCAGGGGAAGTGGCTTGCTCAAGGTCACAGCTGGTGGCAGGTGCAATTTGGCCACATCCCTTCGGTACTTGCTGGTCCGTGCACACCCCCAGCTGCCTTTGCTGCAGGATTGTGCTTGGCTTGTCCACTGGACAGGTCAGAAGGACTGGGGAACCACAGTGAGATACCACTTCCCACCCATTAGGATGGCAATCACCATAATAATAAAACAAAATAAATATTGGCAAGGATGTGGAGAAATTGCAAACCTGGAACCCTTGTACATTGCTGGTGGGAATGTATTGATAAAATGGTGCAGCTGCCATGGAAAACAGTCTGACAATTCCTCAAAAAGTTGAACATGGAATTACCATGGGACTCAACAATTCCACTCCAAGGTATATACCCAAAAGAAATGAAAGCATGTTCATACAACAACTTGTACCTGAATGCTCATGGCAGCATTATTCATAAGAGCCAAAATGTGGAAACAACCCAAATGTCTATCCATTGATGAATGGATAAACAAACTGATATAGCCTTACAATGGAATATTACTCAGACAATGGCCTGAACAGTATGGCGGTTCCTCAGAAAATTAAAAATAGAACTACCTATAACATTATAAATCAACTATATTTCAATAAAAAATTTTAAAAAAATAAAAAATAAAAATAGAACTACCATATGATCCAGGAATTCCACTTCTGGGTATTTATCTGAAGGAAACAAAGTTGTTCTCTTGAAAAGACATCTGGGAATTCCCTGGTGGTCCAGTGGACTTGGCACTTTCACTGCAGGGGCCAGGTTCAATTCCTGGTTGGGGAGCTAAGATCCCACAAGCTGTGGGGCCAAAAAAAAAAAAAAAAAAGAAAGAAAGAAAAATAAAAAAGATATCTGGACCTTGTGCTCCTAGCCCTGTTACAACCTGGTAGATGAAATGCTCTGGTAACCTTTTGTAAAAGCAGTAGGAAGGGAATTCTGGGCTGGAGGAACAGCATGTGCAGAATGTTCAGAGAATAAGAGAAGTTCATTCATTCAACACATATGTATTGACCATCTGCCTATAACGACCAGACATTGATTCAGATGCTGGGGCTGAGAGGGTCCCTGGCCTTCTGGAGCTCACGCAAATGAACGTGACACAGGTCAATCAAAAGAATTTCAGCAAGTGAATGAAGTTTCAGTAATGAAACCATTAGAGCAAGTGACAGGGAGTGTTTAGGGTGTGGCTCAGGATGGAAGGAGTCAGGGAGTCAGGGAGCATCCGGGAAAGCTTTTAGGAAGAGGCTCAGGCCACAAGAAAGGGCTGGCCATATCAGGGACGAGAAGAGCATTCCAGGTCAAGGGAACTGCAAGGTGGTCACGCCAGATCTCAGAATGAGGGGCGAGCAGGCATGATGCCATGGAGTGGGGTTTGGGTACTTCTGCCCTGGGTCCACAGCCTCTGGTCTGCAGTGGGGCCATTCCCTGACCTTCTTGAGACTGCCTGGCACCCTGGAGGAAGCCCTGCCCTTCCTGGTAGCTGCAGCAAAGGGATGGGGAACATCTGCTTCCCTTTCTTTCAAGAAAGCACAAAGGGAACGTAGACTAGGGGTTGCGTGGTTCTTCTGCCAAACTGCCCCCTATTATCACCCCATTCTCATCTCAGGAAATGGCCCTCCACCCTCCTAGGACCTCAGACCAAGACCAAGGAGTTGACCTTGACTCTGCCTGCCCCCACATCCCAGCAAACACAGTTGGACCTGCTGCCAAAATAAATGCCAAATTGGACGGTATGTCCCCAGCGCCATTGCCCACTCCAGGCTCCATCATTGCTCCCCTGCACTGGAGCAGTCACCTCCTCTCCAGTCTCCTGGTTTCCTTCTACCCTGTCCTCCCCACCACCTGACTCTAGCTCCTGCTGTCTTAGGAGGGTGCCTGTAAAGGCCTGAGTCAGGACGTGTCCCTGCTCTGCTCAGAACCCTCCATGGCTCCCACCTCACTGAGAGGAAAGGCCAAAGTCCTCCCCAGGCCACGCTCTACCCCACTCCCTCCTTGCCTCCTGTCCTCCAATTCTCTCCCTCCCTTACTGCATTCCAGCAACATTAGCCTCCTGGCTGTTCCTTAAGGCAGCTCCTTCCTACCTCAGGGCCTTGGCACATTCGGTGCTCTCTGCTTGGTACATTCCTTCCCTGATATTGTCAGGACTCTCTGCTCTTTGCTCAAATGTCACCTTCTCAGTCTTTCCCAGAATACTCTATTTAAAGGTTTATTAGCCTTCACATTTCCTATTCCCTTCCCTGCTTTACTTTCTCTTAGCACTAATCACAAGCTATGTCTCCATATATCTTATTTTTGTTTCTGTCGTCCGGACTAAGATGATCTCTGCATGATGGTAGGGATTTTGGTCTATTCTGTTCATTGCTGCGTCCGCAGCACCTGGAACGATGCCTGGCACACAGCAGGCTCTCCATCAACGCTGCGAAGCAAGTGTTGAGAGACAGAAGGAAGCAGCACGATTTTACCGCTGTAAGGGGGACCAGAGCCGCGCGGGGGAGCTCGCCGCCCGCGCACTTGGGACAGAGGCCAAAGTAAGCAGTGATCCGAACCTGGTAAAAATTCTCCGGAAAGTGACCCCCTGACGGAGGATTTTCCCAGACCCTCCCAGGGACGTCCCCGGCCCCCGCTCTGCGCCTTTGCCCAGTCCGTTCGGGGCGGGAATTCAACACCTTCCAAACTCCAAGAAGAAAGATCCCCTTGGAAATTCCTTAGGAACAATCGGGGCGGAGCGAGGGGCTCTTTTCCGGCTGGCGAGTAATTCGCTGCCCCTTCCCCGGGAGGAAGGGGTCGAGCGTCCTTGAAGCCCCCTCCCTTCCCCGTCTGCTGCGCGACCTTCTTGGCCCTTCTGAGGTCTCCCTGGCGACGCGGCGCGCGCGCCACAACAGGAAGCCTTAGGCGGCTGGGTTCCGCGCTCGGAGACTCCAGGATCCCCAGCCTTGACGTGGTGGATGCCGAGTCTTGGGCGGTCACACGCGCAGGCGTGGCTTGGGGGGAGGCGGTGGCGTGGGACGGCCTATAGACGCGGCGCGGGACCTCACAATGTCCCCCAAACACCCTAATGGGACAAGCCGGGGCAAACACCCGCACAGATTTAGTGCTGGCGCCCGGGATTCGAGTTACGGGAGCTGCGAGCAGAGGACAGGGGTTTGAGCGCCCCCTCTCCCCGCCCCATTCCGGGGCCTGGGAGCTGCCTCAGTTTCCCTGCAGAAGGCAAGCATTCGAGCGCCCCCTCTCCCCCCCCCCCGTCAACGTCTGCGGCCTCAGTTTCCCCGCGGAGCCTGGGGACTGCAACGGAGGGGCTCGGCACGTCAGGACCACGCGGCTTCCTCCCTTTTTCTGGAAGCTGTAAAGCCGCCTCCGCCGAAAGGGGAAGCGAGGCCGCGGGGGAGTGAGAGCGCCCATCGGTGGGGGACGCGGAGCCCCGGACGTGATGCGCCTTACGTCCTCTCCCCCAGGGTTCACAGGCGCCTGAAAGTGCCTGGGCTTTCTGCGGCCGCTTCTCAGGAAATCTCGGTGTCAGCTGGGCGGGGACATGCCCCTTTGGGGAGGGGCACCCTTGATCGAGAGCGCCCCAGGAAGATTCCCGGGGCCCCACCGAAACGAGGGACCGACCGTCCGCTCGGTTAAAGAGGCCTGCTTGCGCTGGGGAGTCAGACTGGAGTTCGAATGACCTCGCAGCTTGGAGCCTCAGTTTACCCCTCAGTTTAGTCGCTACCGTCCAGGGCGGTTGGCAGTATCCAATAAAGCACTGTGTAAACTTAGAATCAAGGGTAGCCGAGCCCGGGGACGGGACCCCTAGCTCCGGGAGCAGCGTCCGGGCTGTTTTCTGGCCGCTGCCGCCAGGCAGCCCTCACCACTTCAATTCGGAAATTCCGGTGCGAGAGCGGCCAGCGAGAGGGTACAACCCTGCTCGCCCCGGCACCCTCTCAATCCGGAAATGCCAGAGCCCTCGTTCCGGAGGGGAAAGCGCGAGGTTTCCGGGAAGGCAGCCCCGCCCCCTCGGCCCCCCTTGGCGGGCCGCTATAAAAGGACCTACAAGGTCCTCAGCTCCACAGTCCGCGCCCACGACTCTGCGCCACCTCGTCCGCCCTGCCTCTGCCTGCGATGGTTCCCGGCGCTGCCCATCCCGCGCTGCTTGCGCTCCTGGCCCTGCTCGGGGCTCTGCTCCCAGGTGAGTCAGGGGTTGGGGGGCTGCCGTCGGGCTGGCTCTTGGGATCTGGGCTGCGCCCTGGGAGCGGTAGGAGGACCGGCTCCCCACCGGCTGGGGACACTGGTACTTAGGTAGCTGTTTATGGGAAGTTGGGGCTAGAGCCATCGATTGAAAGTCAACAGCCATGGGTTCAAATCCAGACCCTACATCATGGCTTGCTGTGTGCCTTCGGACTATGGGCTGCCCCTCCCAGAGGAGCTTCAGTTTTTCAGCTGTAAAATGGAGAAGTTAATAGTGTTCACGTCGCAGCGGTTGTGTCCTGGCCCCAGGAGGTGGTCAGACCGTGTAGAGATGTGGCCCCGTGCCAAGCTTAGGTAGACTGGGCCCCCCCACACACACACACAGACATTCTGTTCCTCATCCCGTGCCCTTGGGGGAAGTCCAGGACTCTGCTCAGGGGAATTCCAGGGCTGACTTGCCAAGGGAGCAGAGGCATAAGGAATGGGATGCCCCAGCAGCCCTTCATCAACTCCAGCTGGGAGGAGGGAGGGGAGAAGGGGGGCAGCTGGTCTCAAATGGTGGTCAGTGTCGGGAAGCAGGAGAGTGAAAAATTCATGAGCAGAGACCACACCGCGGTTACCAGCTCAGTGAAGCGTTCTAATCCGGACTCTAATCTGGACTCTACCACTTTCTAGCTGAGTGACCTCCCTTCAGGTCTCACCATTTCCCTCTGTGAAATGGAAGCAACCCCAGAATCACCCTTGAGAATTCATGGAGCTGCTGTTTCCACACGCCTCCATCCCAGACAGAGTAGACCCAAAGCTGAAGGCAGAGATCTTCGGTGGGGTGGGGGGCGGCTTTCAGATGGGTGGGCTCAGACAGACTTTGTTTTTCAGCTTTGGAGGCACCAACAGTCTGCGGGAGCTAATCCCAACAAGCCCCCTCCTTCTTACCTGCAGCCACGCGCTACCTGCCCTGTGCTAGGAGTTACTTGCATCAGCAGGGGTTGGGGTGACTATATTCACCCAATTTACAGATGGGGAAAGTGAGGTCCTGAGAGGGGAAACCAGTTGTGCAAGTGGGTAAGGAACCAGCCTGACTGGAACCCCTTCATCCCTGGAGGACTGACTCCCTCCACCTGACCTCCTCGTGTGGGGGGGGGAAGAACACTGACTTCATGCCCCTCTTTTGCTAAAATCCTCCATGGCTGCCCATTGTCCTCACAATGAAGAACACTTCCTTGGCGTGGCTTAACACTGCTTTGCATGATCTTCCTGACCTCATTTCCCCCCAACTCATCCCTGTGACTCTGCTCCAGCCACCCTGCCTCAGGACCTTTGCACTTGCTGCTCCTTTTGCCTGGAACTCATTTCCCTTTTCTCTAGATGGCCAGCCCCTGCTCATCATCCAGATCTCTGCTCACACATTACCCTGTCACCAAGGCACTGTCTGTTCTATCAACCCATTTTGTTTTTGCCAAAGCTCTTGTCAGCATCAGTTATTAATTATGCTGTGTGCTCATGAATTTTTCTGTCTCCCACACTGAAAGCAGAGTTTTGTCTTGTTCAAGGCTGTGTCCCCAGCACCCAGAACAGGCTGGATGCAGTAATGTTAATGAGCCCGATTTGTCATGTCTGACCCCTCCACATCTTTTGGTTCCAGGGCCTGGAGGTGCTCAAACATCAGTGCAGCCTCAAAACGCCATCACATCCCGAGGAGCCTCCATAATGGTGAACTGCAGTACCTCCTGTGACCAACACACAATGTTGGGCCTAGAGACTCAGCTGGCCAAGAGGGAAGTAGGCCATGGGGACAACTGGAAGATTTTTGAACTGAGTGACGTGCAAAAAGACAGCTTCCCAATATGCTACTCAATCTGTCTCAATAACCAGTCATCAGCTTTGATGAACCTCACCGTATACTGTGAGTGGCTGGGCCCAGGGGCTGGACTAGGCAGCCTGGGTTGGGGAGGTGGACAAGGGAGTCCCCAGCAGGTTGGAACAGCCTTTGTTACTTGGGGGTGGGGGTGGGGTAGGGTCTCACTGAAGGGCAAGGGGGCCCATCTTCTGAAAGACTCATTGTCATCTAGAACCTTTCCTTGAACTTCCTTGGGGGTGACTTCCAAGTACGGACTCAGTCCTCAAAATGTCACATGTGTGGGTCCTTTGACACAGAAAACCCACTCCTGGGAATTGGGCCTATAGGTGTCCCCAGCCACTAGGGTACTGAGGGAGTGTGGGGTTATTCACTGTGGCTTGATCTGAAAGGGTAAAAGTTTGCAAGGCACTCAAATGTAGAGGCCTGGGGAGAGAAACTGTGGTTCAGTCATCCCATGGAATAGTATGCAACCGTGTAAAAGAATGAGACAGATGCTCCAAGATGTATTGTCAAGTTCAAAAGTAAGGTATGCCCAGAATGAGTGGCATGCCACCCACAGTGTTAGGAAGCCATGGGCTCGGGGTTAGGGAGGCTGTGTTTCTGCATTAAAGGGCCCAGAAAGGAAATACAACAGATGACAATATAGCTGGCTGTGAGGAGAGAAGGTGCAGGGCTCTGGGTGAGCACGGGGGCGAGTTTTCTCCACGTGCCTTTTTTTTACTTTGGGCATTTTGAAGTGTGACAGTGAGTTAGCATGACTGTAAGCAATAAATAGGTAAATGAAATTCAAATGAAAACAAAACAAAATAAAAAAGGAAGAAAGAAAGAGAACTGGCCAACTGGACTTGGGATCAGACAGCCTTGGGTTCTAGTCCCAGCGTGGGCCTCACTAACTGGGTGACTCTGATGTGGGGAGCAGGGGAGGGGGGAATATGTGGCTTCCTGGTTGATTTTCACATGAGACCTCCTCGGAAGGGTCTAATGATGCAGTGAGGCCTGGAGGACATTCCGCCTTCACAGTGCCTGCGTAAAAGAAGCTTTGGGGCAAACATCAGCTTTGTTTCTGATTTGGAGGATGTCTGAGCAGCTGCTGGCCAAGTGAGGGAAGTCCCCAAACATTCCCGGTGGCCTCTGAAAACCCCCAGAAAACCTCTTCACAGGACCTTCTGCATCTCACCCTGAGAGTTGAAAGCCCAATCCTCCAGGTTTGAGTCCTGGCCCTGATATATTTCTTCCTCTTTGGGTGCCAGACTTTGCCTTAGTTTTCACCTCTGTGAAATGGAACAGACGGCTGCACACAGTAGCAAGGGGTCACCTAGGAGAGACTCGAGCTTGGTCCTGCCCCACTGCCAGTGTAAAGATGAGGGAGCATCTCTGGGTGGCTGAGCTTTCTCTAGAAAGAGTTGTAATTCCTGCAGGAAGTGACCCCTAACTTGGCCTTGAAGGATGAGTAGGAGTTGGTAAAGACAGGCATTCTAGACAGAGGGAATAGCCTGGGCAAAGATTTGGAGTGGGGAGACATGCTGACCTGGGGCTGGGGAGGCAAGAGGGATTGAATATCAACAGATCTGTGTGGCTGGAGCTGAGTTTGGCGGGACCTTGAATGCCAGGCCGAGGAGCTGAGACTTTCTTCTTAGGGTGACAGGGAGCCATGGAGGGTGTGTGAGCAGACCAGGGATCCAGAGCAGAGGGCTGACCTTACAGGAAGCCAGAGAGCAGCTGCCCGTGGACCCAGTCCAGGTCGTGCATGTTGAGGGCAGTTTCGCATACGGGAAGGGAGGGGCAGACAAATATTTGAAGGGTGGAGTGACCAGGACTTAGTGAGGGACTAAAGATGGGGAGTCAAGGAGAGGTACAGGCAGAACAGACCTCCTCTCCCAGTCTGGCCTTCAGGGCAAGGATCTGGGCTCCAAGATGTGAGTTCCATTTGGAGGCTGTGGCTGGAGGGGGCCGCCGGCTCTGCAAGTTGGAGTTTGCAACAGATGGTCAGAGGTAAGAATTGGATGTCTGAGGGTTTTCTCAACCTTTTGTTTCTTTCTTTTTTTTTTTTTAACAGCTTTTAGCATACACTGCAGTGAAGTTTGGAGTATTTATAGTGTTGTACAACCACAGTCTAGTTTAAGAATATATCTCTCACCTTAAAAAGTAACCACAAAAAAAAATTTCAGATGTGGAAAACACAATATATTGGCTTCAAAAATTTTTTTAAGGCAAAATTAAAATGAATAAACATTTAATCAAAAGTCAAAAAAAAAGTAACCTCATGCCCATGTACAGTCACTCTCAACTTCTGAAGTGGATTAATAATAGTCCTAATAATAATAATAACGATAATAATAGTCCTACCTTCATTAGCCCTAGGTTACAACTTAGAAAACTGAGGCATTTCTGTAGCCCCGAGCGCTGGGACTGTTCCAGTGTGCAAAGTCACTCCCCCACCGGCCATAGCAAAGAACCAGCAAAGCTAGGAATCAACTCCGGGCTCCTGACATTTTAACATCACTGCTTTTTTTTTCCCCCCCTTAGGTTGGAAAAGGAAAGGTTGCTTTATTCAGGAGGCTGGCAACCCGGGGAGAAGGTGGACTCATGTCCAAAAATCAACTCCCAACATCACTACCGTTTAAGTGACATTTCAGGGCCTCTTGAGAAGGGACTAAAAGTGGGAGGCTTCAAGACCCCTCCCTAGGGAGCCTGGGGTGGGGGAGTGAGTCTCAGGCTAAGCCACAGCTCACCAGGGCTCTGCTGGCAATTTCCACTGGCGATCCAGGCTTGGAATTCTGTTACCTCATGCAGAATGGAGACCCTGGCAACCAAGCCCGCATGTAGTGTTTTCAGGGGATATTCAGGGTTTCGTTTTGAGGGTCTGTGGGTTGTTCTTAGATTTTTAACATTTCAGGGGATCACACGGTTCATTCGGGAACCCTTAAAAGCAAGCTCCTGAAAGGCCTCGAATCCGTGTGGGTGTCTCAACCTTATTCTTTCTACAGATATAGAGTGCCTAAGGGACTTCCCTGGCGGTCCAGTGGTTAAGACTCTGTGCTTCCACTGCCAAGGGCGTGGGTTCGATCCCTGGTCGGGGAGCTAAGATCCCACAAGCCGCGGGGCGTGGCCAAAAAAAAAAAAAAATAGAGTGCTTATCGGGTGTCAAGAATACAACAGGGAACAAAACAGACAAAGATGCCTGCCCTCCTGGGCTGACATTCCATGACAGGAATAGTGGAAAAGCAAATTAACTGAGTAGATGATCTTTTACCTCAGAGGTGAGGGATGCTATGGAGAAAAATGCTAAGGCCAAAAAGAGGAGAAGGTAGAACAGTTTTTTTACAACAACGTCTAGATACTGGACAGCTTAAATGGACTGTATTCATTTGCGGGGACTCCTGGCAATAAACTTCAAAATTCTTTCCCACTTTTCACTCTCAGATGCTGCAGTGAATAAAAATGTATTTTGCCTCCTTCACAACCACTTGGGGACTACTCACTGGGTTATTCTGAAGCTCTTAACATTCCTCTCTAGCTTAGGTGGTTTGGGGTGTGTTCTGGGGAGAGCGTGGTGAGACTTCCCGAGCAGGTGTAGCCAGGGCCCCAGCGTTCCTTTGGGCGGGCGGCCAGCCAGTTCAAACAATACTCCCCTCCCCTCTAGGGTTCCCGGAACGCGTGGAGCTGGCCCCCCTGCCCCGCTGGCAGCCCGTGGGCGAGCACCTCACCCTGCGCTGCATGGTGTCCGGTGGGGCCCCCCGGGACCACCTCACCGTGGTGCTGCTTCGTGAGGAGAAGGAGCTGGGCCGTCAGCCAGCGGGAAAGGGGGAGCCTGCCGAGGTCAAGGTCACGGTGCCGGCGAGCAGAGATGACCATGGCGCCAATTTCTCTTGCCGCACGGAGCTGGACCTGCGGTCCCATGGGCTGGGACTGTTCCAGAACAGCTCAGCCCCCAGGAAGCTCCGAACCTTTGGTGAGGCACTGGGGAGCCAGCAGAGAGGATGGGATGACAGGGATTTCCTGCTTGGGGTGCGGGGTCTCTGGGAAGGAGAGGCCCCTGGCCGTGGGGGCATTGAGAAGGTGGCAACCTTGATTGCAAAGGCTTCTGGGAAGAGCATCTTCTCGGCCACCAGGGTGGAGTGTTCTGGGATGTGGTGCCTGGACTGCAGGATCCTCTGAGAAGGCTGTGACCCAGGGCAAGTGGTACACGTGTCCTGGGACAAGGGTGACCCAGGCCTCAGTCTCCCGGGAAGAGGGTGTTCCAGGTGGGGGAATGAAAATGTCCCGGGAAAGGGCTTCAGGATGTCTGTCTCCTCTCTGTTTACACCCACTGTCTCTCACCAGTCCTACCAACGACCGACCCGCACCTTGCTACCCACGCGGTACTGGAAGTGGGCACACGGTGCCTGGTGAACTGCACCCTGGGTGGACTGTTCCCAGTCTCGGAGGCGGAGGTCCACCTGGCGCTGGGGGACAGGAGGCTGCAAACCACGATCACGTACAATGATGACTCACTCTTGGCCAAAGCCTTGGTCAAGGGAGAGGTGGAGAAAGAAGGCGTCCAGTACTTGACGTGTGAGGTGAATCTGGGAGGGCAGAGCCGGAGGTCTCTGAAGAACGTGACCATCTACAGTAAGTAGAAACCCAAGTGGGGCTTCTGAGGGGGTGGGGCTAATGCCATGGGTGGGGCTCACCTTGCGCCCCACCTCCAGGCTTCCCGGCTCCCAACCTGACCCTGAGCCAGCCCGAGGTCTCGGAATGGACTACGGTGAACGTGGAGTGCGAGGCCCAGGCTGGAGCTGTGGTGACGCTGAACGGGGCCCCAGCCAGGCCTCCGGGCCCGAGGGCCCAGTTGCAGCTGAATGCCAGCGCCGAGGACAACGGGCGCAGTTTCTTCTGCTCTGCTGCCCTGGCGGTGGCTGAGCAGGTGGTACACAAGAACCAGACCCGGGAGCTCCGTGTCCTGTGTGAGTGGGGCTGCTAGACGGTGATCCCTTACCTCCAAGGTCCAACCCCTAAGACCCCAAGAACTCCTGCCTCCACCCACTCCCACTCCCACCCTAGTGAGCCCCTTCCCCAGATTCCTACCTGAGTCTTCTTACCTAGACCTAGATGGTGAGCGATGTCCTGGTCCCTGACCCCTCCCCTCATCTTGCTGTGTTTCTTCAGATGGCCCCCGACTAAACGAGAGGGATTGCCTGGGAAACTGGACATGGCAGGAAGGCTCCCAGCAGACCCTGAGGTGCCAGGCCTGGGGGAACCCAACCCCCAAGCTGAACTGTAGCCGGAAAGAGGACGGGGCTTTGCTACCCACTGGGGACCTGAGACCCGTCAAGCGGGAGGTGGCAGGCACCTACCAGTGTCGGGCCACCAGCACTCGCGGTGAGGTTACCCGTGAAGTTGTCATCAATGTGATCTGTAAGTGCTGGAGTTCAGGGCTGGGCAGGGCAGGGGCAGTGAGGGCAGCTCAACCCTCACCGCCCCCTGTGTCCTCCCCACAGACCACCAGAATAACTTGGCCATCGTCATTCCGGTGGCATCTGTGATCATCTTGAGCACTGTGGGCACAGCCGCTTACTTCTATAACTACCAGAGGAAGATCCAGAAATATGAGCTACAGAAGACCCGGAAGGCCCAGGAAGAGGCTGCCATGAAACTGACCACACCAGCCACGCCGCCCTGAGCCGACCCCCTCCGGACAGGATCTCCTCAGCCCCCAAACCGTGACAAGCAGGGATGCATCAAACAATGGTGGACATATGCCATTCAGCTATACCCACCTTCCCAGGGTGCCAGAGGACAGGAGAGAGGCCTCAGTCAGGATACAGACAGCATCTGGGGTCATGGCCCCTGCACACTTATAACCCCAAGGCCTCACACCTGACGTGGAGCCACAGGACTGAGACAAAAGAAGGGACCAAGGCTCAGGGCATCAATGTGAGGGGTGTCAAAGTCTGACCTGGCCGGAGGGTGTATGATGGAGACCCTGACCTCCAGCATGGGGACACCCAACTGCGAAACGTTGAAACTCACCCCCTACTGCATGTGCTGAGCCCTTACAGTCCTAAGAGAGAAGTGGCCCTGCACAGACACATGCAGCACTGAAACACAAATCCCCACACGTCCTCTGACAGAAGCCAGCTCCAGCATTGCTGTCCACAGACTGTTCCCAACTCTTGATGATGACCTATTTATTCATTTGTTCTCTTACTAGCTATTTATTGAGTGCCTTTTATGTGGGCTAGAATGGTAAACAAGAAGATTCCCACCCTCAGGGAGCTCTCAGTCTAATCTCATTCAGGGTCGCCAGCTACAGTTGTACTGGTTGAGCACTGCACAAGAGTGCCTGGCAAAAAGATTAAGTGGGGCTAGAATTTCCCACTCCACTGGCCAAGCTGCTTTCTCCCAGAAAGGGATTAGTAATGGTGACGAGGTATAGCTGGTGACATGCCCAGAGATGACCCACTGAGCCCATACACCCCAGCACTGGCACTGACCTCTGATAATCCACCTCTCCACCTATACCCATGTCTGCTAGTGCTCACAATGACACTTGGTGGCATGCCTAAACGTGGGTGTTCACTCCTTGATAGCTAAACCATGGAGTCCCATGAAACTGTGCCCAACCCTTGTGTGTCCCTGCCTTGTCCTACCTGTTTCCATCTCAGTGGGACCATGCAAGAACAGAACAGTCTGCAGCTCCAAATCCCTGCAGCGATGAGGGTACTGCAGGCAGTGCGGACGAGAGGCCTGGGAGAATCCCCTCCCAACTGCGGAAGCCTCTCCCTTGTGCTAATAAAACTATTTCATCCTTCCAGCCTTGTGTGAGTTGAGGGGAGGTGTCGTGTCCAGCTGGAGCCTTTTCTGGCCTGTCCTCCCACTTCCTGCCCCAAGAGAAGGCTGCCAGTTCAAGGCCCAGCCCTCAGGCTCTAGTCCAAATCTGGGGTTTATTGGGGCCTTTTGAGACTTTAGTGAAAATTAAAGATCCCTCTCCAGAAGAACACGATGACATTTGGTTTAGAATGGGGTGGAGAATCCCATTCTTAAGCTGTGGGAGTGGGCTGTATACCGCAGGGCTCCGGGGCCCCCCCCGCGGAGCCTCTGTCTCTCTTTCCCCGGGGTGGGGCTGAGGAGGCGGTGCTGCGGGCCTCCTTATCTCCAGAGCCAGCCTTGGCTCCCTGGCGCGGGGCCACCTCAGTCCGGGCTTTTTGCCATGGGGTCTCTGCTCCTCCTCTTGCTGCCGCTTTTGCTGTCGCCCTCCTACCCGCGAGGCGGGAGCGCGCGGAGGCGCCGAGGTGCGCGGACGCAAGGCCTGGGAGGCCCCTCTCCCGCGCCCCCGGAGACCTCAGCACCCTTCTGGGTGCGCATAAGCCCCGAGTTCAAGGCCGTGCCGCCGGGGGGCTCAGTGTGGCTCAACTGCAGCAGCAGCTGCCCCCTACCGGAGGGTTCCAGCCTCCGCACCGAGCTGCGGCGAGGCGACACGCTCAGTGGGCCCGGTTGGGTATCCTACCAGCTGCTGGATGTGAGGGCCTGGAGCTCCGATGTGCACTGCTTTGTCACCTGCGCGGGAGAAACGCGGGGGGCCGCCGCCAGGATTACCGCCTACAGTGAGGGACAGGGGCTCAGGCCTGGCTGGGGTGCGGGGAGGAGGACGGAGCGGGGGTAACGGACGGTCGCGCTAGGGGGAGCCCTCGGACCTTGCCCAGCGGCCCCCTCTTGCCTTAGAACAGCCACGCAGCGTGATCCTGGAGCCTCCGGTCTTAATGGGCAGTGAGTACACTCTGCGCTGCCATGTGACGCACGTGTTCCCCGTGGGCTTCCTGGTGGTGATTCTGAGGCGCGGTGGCCGGGTCATCTACTCCGAGAGCCTGGAGCGCTTCACCGGCCGGGATCTGGCCAACGTGACGCTGACTTACGCATTACGCGCCAGGCCCAGTGACTTCGGGCAGCCCGTTACCTGCTACGCCCGCCTCAATCTCGATGGTCTGGTGGTCCTCAGTAGCTCGGCACCCATGACGCTGCCAGTCCTCGGTGAGGCGCCCTTACAACCCTGGGAAGAGTGGGGAAGGGTTATGTGGGCCAAGCCAGAGCATGTCCATGCGGGTTGTCACACCTCCAAGTGCTCTGTTCCTAATTCTCCCCTCTTGTCTCCAGCTTGGAGCCCTGCGTCCAAAGCCTTGGCCTCCACCTCCATCGCAGCCCTTGTGGGGATCCTTCTTGTAGTGGGGGCCCTCTGCCTGAGAAAGTACCTATCGATGAAGTCTCGGGCATAGAGGCAGTGTTCCATGCTGGCTGAGCTGGAGGAAAAAGGAATCTGGAACATTTGGGGGAACCTTGCCTGGATCAATAAAGCCTTCCTCAGCCAGCTTCTGCCCCTGGGCATAAAGGTCCCCCATTAGTGCACCTCCTCTGACTGAAGTGGTCTTCTTTTTTGGCCTTGCCTCTATCATTTTCTCCAAATTCCTGTCTCCCTGAGGGTACCTGAGGCTTTTCACTCTGGTCTCCCATACCGGAGCCCCATTCCCTCTGCATTCCCAGCCGACTTAGTAAAAACCTCTCCCGCGGGCATTATCAGTGCGGCGCAGAGGGGCAAGGCATGGGCCCAGGGCGGGTTTAGGCTGTGGGAAGGCTGGTTCATGGTATGGCTTCTCCTGATTGGCTCCAGCGCTGCCACGCAGAAGCTCTGATTGGATGTTAAGTTTCCTACCCACCCCCCCTCGCCCTTTAGACCCTGCACTTTCCTGGAGGGCAGGGGTGGGGAGAGAACTAATCCCCGTAAGTTCACCATTAGCTCTGGGAGTGAGAGCACAGGTGGGCTGGGTCAAATGTACTTTGTGAGGGACGTGGATACGCAGAAAAGATACCCATGTGTTGACTGCGGGGAAGGAGCAACCAGATGGTGGGGGGGGGGGCGGTGGTGTATGTCACAGATTCGCATCCTGGAAACGTCCTGTTAGTCACCGGGCCTGGTGAGCACATGGAGGGTGTCCAAACCTGGAACCCAGGTGCGGAGTCAAAAGTATCACAGTTGGTCTCTTGGTCTCTCGTGGACGCAGAATCGGGGCCTGCAGTGGATGCCTGGCAAGGCCCGCGTGGCCCAGGGCCCCGCCCGCCGAGCAGAAAGAGGATTCAGAGGCGCTCTTTGGCGGCTCCTGCTCACACAAATCGCGTAGACACGTGCCCGCTGCACGCTGGGTAAATACAGACCCAGAGCCGAGCCGACCCTAATTTAGACGCCCGAGAACGCTGCGCGCAAGCACACACGTTCCCAACTCGCTGTCACTTTCGTCCCCGCCCCTTCTGTCGCGTGCGGGGGCGGAGCCAGAGAAAGACTAGAGGCGTAGCTGTAACCCTCAGCTCCCAGGGGTTAAAAGGTGAAGGATCAGTGAGGGAGGCATCCCCACATCCTCCCCTAGAGCCTTCTCATCCCCAGCCTGCGCGTCTCAAATCTCTCCTAGACCCCAACCCAACTCCGCTCCAAGGGGGGGGCTGGTGGGAGGGGCTAAATGTGGAGGCGGAGCTCGGAGTCCAGCTCATTATCATAGCATCTAAGCAAGGGGTGGGGTGGGGGTTTGAGAAGGGCAACCCTGCATCCCCACCACCTCAGCGTCGCCGCCGGGGACGACGCTGGAGTGCGCAGCTGCCCCCAGAAGGCTCCGGGCAATGGGGCCGGCCTCCATGTAGACCCTGGGGGTCGCTCGCTCCTGCCAGCACGCCTTCATCAAGGCCGGTAGCCTGGTGCACGCTCGCCTTCCCGCCCTCCCCGCGCCGCCTCTGCTGCCGCCCCCTCCTTGGAAACCAAGTTACCAACGTTAAACCAATCCCCAAGCGCAACTCAGCCTCCTCCACACCCCACCCGCCGCGCCGCGCAGTCCTCTAGCCCAGCTCAGCGCTCGCGCTCCCCTCGCCTCCTGCGCTTCCCCCGCGGCGGCGATGCCAGGACCCTCGCCAGGGCTGCACCGGGCGCTGCTCGGCCTCTGGGCTGCCCTGGGCCTGGGGCTCTTCGGTCTCTCAGGTAAGAGCCGGTCCGGCTCAGGCTGGACAGGGCGGGGTCGTAGTTTCTGGACCTGAGAAGCGGCCACAAGCCCCTCCCCGCTCCTCCCTCGCCTCGCTCCCACGCTTCTGCCCCCACCTCGAGCCCAGGGCCTTCTCTATCCCTCTACCCCCCAACACACACTGGACACCACGCTTCCGGACTCCTCGCTCACTCAAGTCTCTACCCTACCTTCTCCGAGATCCTGGGTGCTCTTCTGCACCCAGCCTCGAGCTCTGGAGACTCCATTATCTCCCCTGTCCCCTCCCGGGGTACCTCCTCACGCTCTGCTATGCACCATGGTCCACGGACTGGCATCTTCACCACTCGAAAGCCACGAAGACCCAAATCTCACCAACTGCCGTGACTCCGAGGCACTGTTCCCGCTCCACCCGGAGCCCTGGCAACAGAGTCCATCGGCTGTTCCCGCGGTTCCTTTCATGAGCCCAGCCCCGCGTCCTCTTTCCGTACTCTTCACCCGGGTTTGGAATCCTCCCTTAGCCTCGCTTGACTCAGCCTCATCTCTCTTTCGCCCTCGCTTCAACCAGTCTCCCCCTCTCCTGGCGAGAACCGTGAGAACCAGTCTGCTTCCCTTCCCCCACCCGGGGTCCCCTCTTCCCAGCATTGCTGTGTGCGTTGAAAACCCCATGTTTCCTCTCATCTCTCCCCTCCCCCCCATTCTTCCCCGTCACTCCATCCGCACCTTGGAGAGAAGGGCTCTCCGCTGCAATGTACCGGAGACACCCTCGAGGTCTGGACCGTGGGAGCGCGCTTGTAAACCTGAAACCTGGGCAGGACTTGGGACTCCTGGCTGTGGCCTCTGCTCATTCCCTGGGAATCCTGAGTCTGCACAGGGGCTCTTAGATCCCAGGGAGGTGGCTCCCAGGCTGAGCTCGCGTTTCTCCGGGCAGTGGTCGCGCAAGAGCCTTTCTGGGCGGACCTACAGCCCCGCGTGGCGCTCGTGGAGCGCGGGGGATCGCTGTGGCTGAATTGCAGCACCAACTGCCCACGGCCCGAGCGCGGTGGCCTGGAGACCTCGCTGCGCCGGAATGGGACCCAGAGGGGTTTGCGCTGGCTGGCGCGGCAGTTGGTGGACATCCGAGAGCCGGAGACCCAGCCCGTCTGCTTCTTCCGCTGCGCGCGACGCACACTGCAGGCTCGTGGGCTCATTCGCACTTTCCGTGAGTTCTCAGAGGCCAAGCTACTTTCCCTCCCTCCCAGGCCCCGCCCCCTGGGTCACGGGGTCCTCTCCTATAGGCCCCACCCTCAGGATCAGCACGCCCTCCCCCTCTTGGCCCCTGGGTTCCAAGCCACGTCCTGCTGAGCCCTGGCATTTCCAACAGCCGTGGTTCCCCCGTTGCAGAACGGCCGGATCGTGTGGAACTGGTGCCGCTGCCTGCCTGGCAGCCAGTGGGCGAGAACTTCACCCTGAGCTGTAGGGTCCCCGGCGCTGGGCCTCGTGGGAGTCTCACATTGACCCTGTTGCGGGGCGCCCGGGAGCTGATTCGCCGCAGCTTCTCCGGGGAGCCACCCCGAGCGCGGGGTGCGGTGCTCACAGCCACGGTACTGGCTCGGAGGGAGGACCATAGGGCCAACTTCTCGTGCCGTGCGGAGCTGGACCTTCGGCCGCATGGCCTGGGGCTGTTTGAAAACAGCTCAGCCCCCAGAGAGCTCCGAACCTTCGGTGAGTGGGTGTGAGAAGGGGACCAAGGGGGGTCGGGCCGATGTTTAAGAAGCTTGGAGGCAGAGAAATCTGAATTCTAATTCTTACCCTAACACTCACCAGCTGAAAGTTATTTTCCCCTCTGTGTGTTGAGGATAACACCATAATAGAGTGCCTGTAAAGCGCTTAGAACATATTGAGCGTTCAATACATAAGTTCAAGCTCTGTTCTTCTACTCCCAGCCCTGCCTCCGGAACCCCCTCGCCTCGCTGCCCCCCGGCTCTTGGAAGTGGGCTCAGAAGGGCCTGTAAGCTGCGCCATGGACGGGCTGTTTCCAGCCTCGGAGGCTGAGGTCTACCTGGCGCTGGGGGACCAGAGGCTGAGTCCCGTTGTCACCCTCGAGGGGGACGCTCTCATGGCCACTGCCACAGCCACAGCTAGCGCAGAGCAGGAGGGCGCCAGGCAGCTGGTCTGCAACGTGACCCTGGGGGGCGAGAGTCGAGAGACCCAAGAGAACGTGACTGTCTACAGTAAGAGCGAGGGAAGTGGGGCCTCGGCGGCTCGGGGGTGGAGCCAGAGGAAGGCGAAGGCGGGGCAAATAGTGGGTGGGGCCCTGGTATCGGAATGGGCGTGGCTCGAGAGTCCCGAAGGGGCGGGGCAGACGGAAGACTCAATAGTAGCTGGAGAAGCGGAGTCTGAGCTGCCCAAAGGGGAAGGTCGCAGATCCGACGAGGATCCCTAGAGGTGTGGCCTGACCACCTCAAGGGGGCGGGGCGAGAAGGGAGAGGAGCCTGAACAGCCCGAGGGGCGGGGCACGGTACCCACGGTTTGGCTGAAGTGAGGAAGGTTCGGGCTGAAGAGGGGCAGCCTTGAACCGCAGGAGGGGCATGGTCAGTGGTCTCCCGGCCAATGCCCCGCCCCCAGGCTTCCCGGAACCCCTCCTGACCCTGAGCGAGCCCAACGCCCCCGAGGGGAAGATGGTGACAGTAACCTGCGCAGCCGGGGCCCGAGCCCTAGTCACGCTAGACGGAATTCCAGCCGCGGTCCCGGGACAGTCCGCCCAGCTCCAGCTGAACGCCACCGAGAAGGACGACAGGCGTGGCTTCTTCTGCAACGCCACCCTCGAAGTTGACGGGGAGACCCTGAGAAAGAACGAGAGCGCCGAGCTGCGCGTCCTGTGTGAGTTGGCCTTTAACCTCTCGCCCACCTCCGCCTGCCTGGTCTCCGGCCGTGTCATGGAAGTGGAGGATTTCCCCACGGTCCACGTCTAGCCTCTTGTATCCCATGCCCCTGCCCGCAGACGCCCCCCGGCTGGACGATTCGGACTGTCCCAGGAGCTGGACGTGGCCGGAGGGACCAGAGCAGACGCTGCGCTGCGAGGCCCGTGGAAACCCAGAGCCCTCGGTGCACTGTGCGCGGCCCGACGGCGGGGCGGTGCTGGCCCTGGGCCTGCTGGGTCCGGTCACTCGCGTGCTCGCTGGAACTTACCGCTGCACCGCGACCAACGTCCAGGGCCAGGCGGTCAAAGACGTGACTCTGACGGTGGAGTGTGAGTGGAGGTGCATAGGGCGCACCTC